GTAATTCTCCTCTTTTTTTAGGCTGGGAATCAATTTCAAGGTTCTCCTACACAACAGCCTAGTCAGCGACTGTCACCTTCTCCTCACCAGCCTCCAAATTCATCCCCTACCCCACCTGATCAACAGAAACAACAGTTCCCTCCTGTTTTGCAACAGCAGCCCCAAAGACCTGGAGGGTTTCCTCAACAACAACCTCCATCAAGACCAGGGGCTCCTTCTCACCAGCATCCATTACAGAGACCCAGTGGGTTTCCCCAGCAGCAGCCTCCATCAAGACCTGGGTTCCCTCCTCAACAACAGACACAGAGACCTGGAGGGATTCCTCAACAGCAACCACCATCAAGACCAGGGGTACCACCTCAACAACATCAGCAACAGACCCAGAGGCCTGGGATGCCTCCCCAGCCGTCAAGACCAGGTGCTCCCAGCCAAGTGCAGCAGACGTCAGCTCAAAGTGGCACTTATCCTTCTCCGCAGTATCCCCCTCAACCAGGAAATACTCAGCAGCAGCATGGACCCGCTCCTGGGCATCAGCAGCAACAGGTTTGACACTCCCTAATAAAGGCAAATTTAACTCAAAATAACACACATGACTATACTTATTGGTAGATGGACAAGTGTGAATCAAAGGTGTTAAGTTATATATAGAATATTGGATTAGAGTATAACTGGCCATTTGAATAAACATGGCCATTTTGAGAAAAATGTTTAATGGTTTGCATTTTCCCTAGCCCATAAAGTGTTATATGCTAAGCATAGAGTGGTTTTTAATTGAGTGTCGTAAAACCAAAACCAAAACCAAAACCAAACCAATTACTTACCAATTAGACTTCTCAGCCAATCTCAAACCATAGTAAAACCAAAACCAAAACCAAAGTCATTGCCTGATTACTTTTGACATTCAATTGAAATCGCCCTCAAAGAAGAACAAAATAAAGATTTTACTGTGTATTTACCTGTAGATGTCAAGTGTGAACGTCAAGCCTAGCAGCTTGTATCTATAGTACAGGCCGTGATTGAATTTCTTGTTATTTACAGATGACTCAACAGATGAGTAACTTGCATATCAACAGTTCACAAAGTCAACCACCATCGTCTCAGCAACAACCACCATTAGGCAGCTGGCCTCCCCAGCCAAACACCACAGTAAGTTAAACAATTTGTCTCCTGTCAGGTAGTGGTGGGGAATGGGATATTGTAACCTGTTCATTAAGTAATGTATTCTTTGTACAGACTAAAATTTTGGGTGCCTGTTCTAGTAATTTGCATTTGAGAGTATTGGCACTACAATTTAGAAAACCAAAAGAGAAGTGTGGCAAACAAAGTGTTTTATACATTCAACAATTTGATGTTTAAACCATGAATTTCTAAACAGTTTAGCAGATGTTGTCTTTCTAAGACTCCTTATATATGCATGATAGTATTTGATCTGAAGCATTTAAAGTGATGATGTACATGTAACATAACAGAAATCTGTGATTATATGGATCTTGTGAGAGTTTTGTTACCACCAGGATACAATATATTTGTGGCTTAAGTTGTAATATTTCAAGGGCAAGTGAAGTCAGGCTAGTGGTTGAAACCAAAGATTTTATTTTCTCAGTATACAGGAATGTGCAAAGAAAAAATTAACGTAACTCACTGACAAGCCCAGGTGGCTTTTGTGGCCTTTTTTTTTTGTTAATTTCTGTGAAATTTCAGCTGCCAATGTGCTCTCTTTCAACCAGTGAAATAAACAGCTGCCAGCTCTTAGCTACATTCTTGGGTATACCAGATTAATGGATACAAATTAACTTCTCTGTAGCCTCAACAGTGTCTTATTAGATATCCAAACTCTGTTTTTGTCTCTTGCAGCAAGGACCATACAGAGGTCCACCAACAACAGCACCTCATTTATCACCCATGGGATCTCAGATGGCACCACCCACAAGTCGACCTCCAGGCCCTCCAACGATGCCCAGCATGCCCCCAATGCACCAACCTGGCTTCCCCCCTCCTGTCTCTTCAGGTGCACCTCCTATGGGAGGCATGACCCAACCCTCCATGGGTAGACCCAGTGCCACGCAAATGCAGCCTATGCCAAGTACTTATCCCGGTTCTCAGGTTAGTATGTCAGGTCCTTCTTTTGGTGGGCCAGCCAGTGCAGGACTGACAGGTCTGTCAGGACCAACACTTGGTCAGGCAGCACCTCCTAGTGGGGCTTCTGGTGCTGGGATGTCGCATAGTGGTTTACCTGGTGGTCGGCGCTTGTACCCAGGTCATGCACCTCCGAGTCCTGTGGAGAATCAGGCATCAGCTGGATCGATGGGAATGCCTTCACATACAGTGAGTCTGGGCAGTGCTCTAGCATGTTTCAAGCAGATTCATGTTGTTTTATAGGACCATGGTCTAATTCATCTGTTGCGTGGAACAGATTTCATCCAGTTGTGAAAAGCTGTGTGGTATATCTTACAAGACTTCCTTTTCCCAACTGTGGACATTAAGTGTAATTGTATTTCTTGTGGCAGGGCCAGTCCATGTATCCTGGTGCAGGATCCATGACAGGGATGCCACCAACTGGTCCTGGTCAACATGGTATGGGACCCCAATCACCCATGAACTCTCCAATGCAACAACAGAGAAGAATTGATCCTGATCAGATGCCCAGTCCGGTGAGTGCTATGACAAGTCCTGCATGTACAGGGCAGGCTTTTAGCCAGATGGACGTCCAGGCATCCTGTGGACAGCCACTTATTAAAGAAAATTCTTTTATTTTTCATATGTTGCCTTAAACTTGTTCATTTGAGCAGGCCCTATAGCACATTTTGCATGCCCACTTTTCAAATCCTGGCTAAAAGCCTGATACAGGGTTCAAAGAAAACAAATTTCAGGATCTGCCTTTGGCAAGCTGTAACTCTAATGTACTACTCCCCTGAATATCTTTCTGGCTAGTAGTTCCTCTGTAATTTGAATTTCCTTAAAAAAATGTTCAAGAGACTTCATCAGTCAGGCAGTTAATGCTAAAATTGATGCTAAAATTGATGCTAAAAGGCTGGAAAATTGCTTTTCCCAACCACTGACAAAGGAAAGTTTGGAGTTCATTGATCTAATCCTCTCTGAAATTTTCAAGATTTCATTTTAATTTTCTACGGTTTGTGACTTGAACAGATTCAAGTGATGAAAGATGACAATGATTCATTTAAAGGCTCTCCATATCTTACAAGTACAAGAGGAAGGACTCCTCCTCTGGTCACAAGCAACTTTGTTGTACAAGATGACGGTAGGTGATCATCCTTATCAGACTTGATCAGTGTATCAGTGTTGTAAATTTATGCTAAACAGATTTGCAAAGATGGAAGGTGTTGATCATGGAAAGAAACTTGCAGACATGAAGCAAACTGCTATCATTTTTGTAAACAATTTTCTACTCATTTTCCATGATGGACATATTATATAAATGAACAAGAACTTGTGAGTAGTGTTTTGTTTGACAGAGAGCTATTAACTTTGCTAGTGTTCTGTCAAATATTTACAATGTTGTGGGTTGACTTGGTGTTATCTGCACTATTTTAGGCTAGGGAACACCAAAATAATTGTGTTACTTTTTTAGTTAGCTGTTGCTTCTCTTGTTCAGATTGGGTCTTATTTTCTCTTCTTTACTGTGTTAGGTAACTGTAGCCCTCGTTTCATGAGGTGTACAATGTATAATATACCGTGTAACAAAGATTTACTTCAAGCATCCAGTATACCCTTGGCCACAGTCATAACTCCCTTTGCTGAAACAGGCCCTTCAGAGGTTAGTATAAGGATGGAAATGGAGGCTATTGTCGTTATACCGAAGCAAGAACCCTAAAAAAGGGACTCTTACCCTAATCTTGAACTAACCTAAAGTTTTACCATGTTCAGGTGTTCTGTGTTCCTAGTTTTAGTACATGCCCTATTAAACCCCTATGACATTCTCCTTCATGACTGATTAACATCCAATTTCTCCCAGTGATGGGAGTATAATGGCAAGCAGACAGGTGATGAGAATAAAGAAAATAATCAGAAGGGTCCATGACTTCTGTCTTGATGTACCACCAAATTCTCAGCTCTAGTACTGAAAAGAAATGAATGGCATCCAGCAAGAAGAAGGCAAGGGTTTCATTAACATTTTCAGCAGGAGGGTAACTGGTTTTCACAGGCGGGCAAAACTGTTTGAACTGAACTTCTTTATGAGAGAAACATTCTGCTACAATCATGGACAAAAGTCCTGGGACAAATTTGCACTTTTGGCGCTTTTGCGTACACGCCAGGCGCAAATACAACTTCACCTGTCTAACCTCGCCCCCCACCCCCCATACAATGTTGAAAACTAGCACGTGCAGTTTCACCTGATTTTCAACATTGTGTTGGCGGGGAGGGGGGACAGATACCCGTTTATAAAGGATATAGCAGCGTTTTCTTCATACTTCAGTTCTAAAACACAGATAATCCACTACATTACATAAGTGTCCTAAGGACCTTTGTCCACGATTGTAGATGGTCAAACCAGCTGGGCAAAATCGGCCTAACAGCCGGTCAATTTGCTTGGTGTTTGGCCCTTAATGAAACCCCTGAGAGCTGGGGCAATTTTGTGACTGTAGCGTATGGCAAGGTAGTAAAATTAATATATGTATCTGTCGATCTTTGTGCAGGCTCCTCTTCGCATTATGGACTACAGTCCTACTGGCCCTGTGAGGTGTAACCGCTGCAAGGCGTACATGAATCCTTTTGTACAGTTTGTCGATGGCGGCCGAAGATTTATGTGCAACATTTGCAACTACTCATCAGAAGGTAATGCTATATGAATCATTATTCCATAATTATGATAATTTTTCATATTTGCAGACACTAGTCAGTTAAAACTTTTTTCATCATTTGGCAAACCTTGTCTTGCTTATTTTCAAACTGTCTATCTATTAGTAGAGCTATTATAATATTGTTTGAAAATAACTTGAATAGTGTGTCCAGTTTTTTCATCTGCATAGTGCTATATTTGTGGAGAAGACCATATTTTGACAGATACAAGTCAATAATAAATTTATTAACCCTTGGACTACTTTTTGTAAGTCAATTTTTGTTTTATTTTTTGTTGCAGTTCCTGCAGAGTACTTTTGTCATCTTGACCACCAAGGGATGAGGCTTGATGTCTATGACAGACCAGAGCTTCATCTTGGATCATATGAATTCATAGCCACGAAAGATTATTGCAAGGTAATTGTCATACTGGATTGATCAGTGTTTAATTTCCCCTTACAATCTCAACACACCGTGAAGTAGGCAGGTGATAAGAATCTGAAAAATCATCAACTACTGAAGATATTGTCTCTCTCAATACATATCATACTGCCAAATTTCACTTAAGGTGGCCCCCTATTGTTTTACTCTGACGCGAGTGCTGAAGAAGTAATCTGCATGCGCTCAAAGGAAAACGTCAGTGTTTTACGATATTTTATTACGTCAACATGAGCACAAAAAGCAAAACTGACAGTGAAATTTCTCCTGTTTCCTTGTGTGAAATTCTGTAAAATTTGGCTGATTGGTAGTAAATATTTTACTTTAGTCGGAGCCCGTTTTTCAGGGAAATCTATAGGACCAGATTTTTTGCAGCGGTAAAAGACATAAATTTGAAAATATTGAAAAAACTGCCTTTACAAACCCTACTTTCTTCGTGTTTAAAATTCGTATCACACTGGAAGCGATGTGATGTAAAAATTTTGGAAGATTTCACTGAAGGGAATTCATGAAAATCACAAATAAAGCCATAAAAACAGTAAAAAACCGATTTGTTTGGCCATTTATAATTTAAGACTAAATCCCAAAATTTTACCCCAGATGATAGCAAAACACTATTTAATCATTGCTTATTACATGTAATAAGTTTGAGAGGACTAGGTGTGAAAGCGAATGCAAAAATAGCATTCAAAACATAACACTTGCGTGCGCAATGCTATAACTGATTACCCTATGGAGCCACCTTTAGTAGAGCTGTGTGCAAAACAACTAGTTAGGATTCATACAGAAATATGAAAATCCTAAGACCTGTTATCCACACCTGTAAACTAGGTGTGAAGAAGTAAATTATGTCTGGGTAAATCAGAATTTTAAGCAACCCGTAACAAGTTTCACAGTAGTTCATTCAAAATTAATACATGTCACCTACAGATTTGGCAGAAATTGGATCTCTGCCTGGATTTATTCTGGTTCTGAAAAAGGAAAAACAACAGTTTGGGGAAAGTATAGAAAAAGTCTTTTCGTGTGCAAAACTACATACAGATCTTGGATAAAATGTTATCTAGTTGAGTCTAGTTGAAAAAGGTTTTGTTTATTTTTTCTTTTCTGTAACATGGTAAGGGAGCTTATCCCAGTTTCTGTAGCATGAAGGGACTAGGAATATTCTTGCTCCTGGCTGGATGGGAAGCTAGTCCATCACAGGGTTACCTTCAGCATTGAATTTGCCAGTACCCATTTGTGCACCTGGGTGGAGAGAGGCACTGTGAGAGTAACATGGTACTTTTTCTTATTCATTCTCCTCAGGATCAAAAGCTTCCAGGTGCTCCTGCCTATATATTTATGATTGACGTGTCATACCAGAGTATGCAGTGTGGAATGGTTAGAATGCTTATGAAGGAGCTCAAGGAACTCTTGGATGTCCTGCCCAAGTGAGCTTTGCATATTTTTTCTCTCTGAGGGTTTAGTCAGCCCTTAAGGCTGCAGTTGATTAAATGTAATTTAAGTTGTTTGGTTGAGAAACATATTCAGGGAAAGACCGTTCGGACTTGCTGTAAATTGTTTTCTATACCATACCATAAAAAAATGCAGCCAACCAGAATACAGGAAAGCTGTTGTGTATTCGACAGTATTACTTGCAAATGTCCCATCATGTGTCATGCCTGACTACTATTTCTTTAGCTTTTGCAATTTTATTTTTGCAGGGCCCCACTGAAAACCACATGTATGTGAAGTGGGCTCCCTGTTGAAAGATGTTTATTATTATTATTATTATTA